CCGTCATTGTCGTTTGGCGGGTCCAGGCTGGGGATTTGAACCCGCCACCTTAGGTGTACGTGGCTGGCGCCTTAGCCGGTTGAGCTATAGGCACCGAGCCACAGTCTCTTGTTATAATGGTGTAATCTCATACATTTGTCAAGCAATCTATCTTTTACAAAGTACTTTTACATGTCTTCTCTCATGTGACATCACCCTTCTCCATCCTGTGGGGCTTTTATTAGCATCTTCCCATTTTACAGTTGAGAACTTTGAGGCCCAAAGAGGTTGCCCAAGGTCACACAGTGGGAGAATCAGAATTTGAACCCAAGTCCTCAATCAAATCTTTACCCTGTTCTATACATATTTTTTGCCATCTTTTTTTCTGGGCTTGGTCAGGAGAACCAATTGGGGCACAATTTAAGAACTACAGCCCCCTTTCCAAGAGCTATACTCAAAGCTTTTCCTGATGGGAGGCTCTGCCTCATGGAGTTTTCTATCTGTCGTGACCTTCATCTTTACCCTGATTCCAGACTTTGGCCTGGGTTGCTGAGATGGCTCTCTCTTCTAACAAATGATAGCCACGATGGTGTCTTTCAATGGTTTAAAGCCAAACTGTTGGGTTGGGATGACCTCCCCAAAGATTAAAGCTTTGTGGGAACCCTGGAGGAAGAGAAGTAAAAATCCATATGCTGAGTGTCTGCATAGTGTTCCTAAGTATAAGATCTCATTAAAATCTTACAACAGCCCGTCTGTAATCCATTTTACTGAAGAGAAGACTAAGAGGTATAAGGAACTTATCAAAGCCCTGTTGCTGTACATTGCAGATGGGATATACTGGTAATACAGCTTAAAAACTGATAGATTTGGGTTTCCTCATCTGCAGAATGGAGATAACATTTTCCATTTTAGCATAGGCTTTGGTAATTATTCAAGTGTTTGTTATTGTGAGAAAGGAGACCTGTGTGATGTTTTGTCAATGGCTGGCACCACTTCCATGTGACCCAGAGTCCTGGGTTGGCATTCTTGGGCCTAATGCTAGTAAAGAGGTCAGGAAGATTCCTTTGGCAAGTTGTGAGCACCTGCTTGTGTGTGTGTGTGTGTGTGTGGTGCTGGTGAGGGGTGCCTGTCTCTGTAGCTGCCAGAAGGGAGAAAGGGGCCTGCTTTGAGCATCCTGGGAGCTGTTGAGGGCTGAGCTGAGAGCAATCAATCAATCTCCCAGGCTATTCTGAGCCCTTTGCACCCTGGGGGCCCACTGAAGAATCGGGCTCTTTCTTGCCCTCCAGTTGAGCAGAGGAGACAAAATTAACACAACAGGAAACAATGCACAACAAAATATAATTACATGCTAAAATTGTTAGGTGCTTTTAAGTAGCTAGAACTCTGCCCAGGGAGTCAAGCTCTAGTGAAGGCTCCTTTGTGCCTAATTCTGGCAGGTCCTCAGGCAGGAGCCTGTCTTAGAATCCCCTTGAGGGTCCTGTTGTCATATCCTGCAGGAAATTTCTGAGGGTGTTTGGCTGGGTGCTCCAGCTCTCTCCAAGGACTGGAGTGGTCAGGGGTGGCTTCCTGCAAGAGGGTGATGAGCTGAGAGAATGAATAATGGACACACAAGCCTGACTGGGGAGGGGAAGGTACTGTTCTCTGACCTTGGAGAAGTCTTTTTTCCTCTCTGTGCCTCAGTGACCTCATCTGGGAAATGGTGATCACTATCTATACTAGTGTTTCATAGGGTTGCTCTGAAAAGCACAGTGGTGGAGGACCAGCTTTGGGCAAGTCACTTGACCTATCTGAGCCTGTTTTCTCATCTGTAAAATAAAGGTGATCATAATATTTGCCTTGTAAGGTTACAATGAGGATTGAATGAGAGATAATACATGTCACGTGCTTATTATACATACTGAATAAATGTTATTTGTATACTGCAAATGTCCTGTACCTATGTGTGACACTTAGGCAATTGGATTGGACAAGTAAGGCAGCCCAGACCACAGAAGCCCTGAAAGCCAGATGCCATTTATATCCCTGTCCTTCCCATTCTGGATCTTCTCTCTGCCACAGTGTTTCTAGCCCTTTTTGAGAGTGAGTCTGCTGGCCCCTCTGGGCCAATACCCACTTCTAACAATGACCGGATTTCCACCACCTCCGGCTTGGCCATTTCCTGTTCTCTTCCAGGGTGTGAGAGGTTGAGGGAGGAGGAAACCTCACCACCAAGGGGAATAGGAAGGTGCCTGGAAATAGTTGGGGTATGGGACTTACGGGACAGGACATTTGCAGTGCTAACTAAGAGGCAAAATCATTTATTCTTAAGGGGAGAAGTAGGGATTATAGGGAAATGGGAAGTTGTAGAGGGCTGAGGGGAGTGGAGAGGATGCTTAGCTTCGTAAAATCTTCCAAGCAGTTTTAGGGACTCCAGGGACCCGGCCCCCGTGATCTGGTTGCCATGGCAACTTCACTTTTTTTGAGATTTGATGTTGTTCCTAATCTCCCCCTGCCCTTCCTCAGCAGTGCCTCCCCCTCATCAGAGAATGAGAGGAGGAGAAGGCAGAAACTTGAGGGGCCCCTTCCTTTCTCGGAAGGTCCCATCCTTGCTCTAAGGGGTCCCATCTCCATTCACTAGGCCAGGCCCCACTCTAAGGGCCCCCGGGGGCCACCATGCCAGCTGGGGGCCGGGCCGGGAGCCTGAAGGACCCTGATGTGGCTGAGCTCTTCTTCAAGGATGACCCTGAAAAGCTCTTCTCTGACCTCCGGGAAATTGGCCATGGCAGTTTTGGAGCTGTATACTTTGTGAGTTGGGTTTTGGGGGGTGGGGGGACTCTTGTTACCCCTGTGGGCCTTTGTTAGGTCTACACAACTCCATGCTAGCCTTTCCTGCCTCTTCTTCTGGACCAGCACATCTTCCCAGTGGGGTGGGAAGGCTCTCATCAGG